ACATCCCCAAACTGCCCTGTCCCGGAGGGTCTATACTGCAGCATGTAGAAGGGCATGGAAATCGGTTGACTACAACATACTGGGGAAAAAAAAAAAAGTATCCTGGAAGGTTCCCACAGGAGATGGTAATTGAGTGTCTTAGAAGATTAAGGCATTTCTTGGGAAGTAGCTTGAAGGTACTATAATTCAAATAAAATTTGGTGTACTACTCCATACGTAAATAGACTTTTTGGCTTCGTTAAAATGTTTAGCTTCCTTGGCATCAATCAAGGTTCAGGGACAGAGACTGGTGGCAGTTAGGAAGACTACACAGGGGCAATTTAAAGTCCAGGATTTCAAATGCCAGGAACGGCCCCGGACTAGCTGTGTGACAAGGTACACCAACTTCCATGGCCTGGGTTCCCTCACCTGTAAAATCAGATATTGATGAGAGTTCCTGTCTCATTAGGCCGGTGAGAGGTTAAGATTGTGGAAAGCCCTTACTTATAGTGCCTGATACAAATTACTTATTATTACTGGTATTATTAATTATTGTTACTATTAGTGTGACACATCAAGAACTAATGGATTAGATTGTTTCTTTTAGGGTGAGCACATAAGGACACGAAGTATCGTTATTGGCAATTGTTTTTCCCTGTTCTGTTGTGATTTTAAAATAATTGAGATGCTGCCCATCAGAGATCATGGCTTCCTTTCCCATTTGATTTTAACGCTGTGGCAGCCAGCCTCTCTTGATGGATATTCCAGCAGATTCCTTCCGAGAGACCATTCCCTGAGTGGAAACTACAAGCCTATACACGATCTGACCTTAGCTTCCAGAAGTTTCCTCCAGGTGATTTCCCTTTCTCTCTGAGGAAAGAAAAGCACTGGTTCCTTGACTGTGCTAATTCTCTTGGGAGCTTTATTTTATAGGAGAGACTCGAATTCGCAAGGAATAGACGTTTTCTCAAGTAGCAGAAAGTCTCGAGAACTGAACTGAGGACGTTGAGTGAAGAGGAAGGCCAAGGCGAGAGTGGGGCGACTGACCGCTTTCCCCCTCTGACAACCTGACAGTTGCCACCTGTACCTCTCAACACAACACTGCATTCTTTGCTCTTAAGGTGGGCACTGGATGAGGATGTGAGATCTGGGATGGACTGAGAGAAGCTGGATAAGCCTGAGATGGGCTGCTTTCCAAACTTCATGCAGAGGAGCCCACAAAGTCTTTACAGGACACACCAGCTGCTCCCATGGGAAAGGCAGCAAAAATGCTCTTTCCTCCCCCTCCCCTTTCTGAAATCCTCTCTTGTGCATTCTCCCCTCCATCCCTGTCCACCAAGCTGCCGCAAATTGTTCTTTCCACTCAGGGTTGGCACCTCAGAGGCTGCTCACAATATCTCTCACTCCAAAAAAGGTCCAGTCCTCCATGTCAACAAAACATCCCCTCCACAGTCTGGACTGCTGGGTTTCCATGTGACCCAAGGAATTCAACATTAGGGCTGAATGATAGATGGAGGGCAGAGTGGAGGTGGGGAACTTGTATTGGCCAAGAAGTTATGACACTGTTATTTTTAAGACAGATGATTCCTCTGGGGGTAGATGAAGTGCAGAAGCCTCTGTGGTGTGCAGTTTTTTTACTGCCAGGGTCAAAAAACACAAATGGCTATAGCCCAGGGCAGGGAAGGGAGCCTAAGTTAGGGTGAAGCTGGCAGAGTGAACAAACGGGTGGCAGGGGGGTGTTGATGGCCTGGGGGGACATCTGTGTCCCGCAGATGCACCCTCCCCCCCACCCCCACCCACTTGGGAGGACCACGGAGGAACCTGGGGGAAACCACATTTTTTATGGCTAGGGGCTGTACCAGATCCCAAACCACCACTGCCACCAGTGGCCAGTGCCCTGCATCAGGGTTGAGGGGTAAGAGAATCTTCTCAGAAAGACTTAGAATGTTGAGTCAGATCCAGCTGGTACTGATCACATGTCCATTGCTCTTTCTCACATTTTCCGAATGTTCAGGAATCAACATTCTCTTTGTTGGTACCCTAAGTGACCTTATACCTAATCTAGGGACACATAAAAGAGGAGTGACAGCATGGAGCTTTATCATGATAAGAAATCCAAATTATAATACCTACAAATAAAATTTCAGCCCAATATCCACTTATACTGCAGTTCTTTGTCTAATTTGTGAAAACACAATCATGTCAACAACCTAGTGTTTGCAACATGACACCAAATTACCCAGAATACTTAAACATCCTCATTGCTTAACAGTTTTAAAACTCTTGATTAAATAGATGGCACTGGCTGAATCAAGAGTAATTGATTTTTCTAGTCCAGAAAAGGTTGATTCCTAGTAAAGAAGACTTTATGCAAAACTAAACGTATACTGGATTTTTAAGAATGCACAGTAAAGGGGAATGAATATGCACTTTTGGTTTTCTCATTAGCTGTGAACTTTTATTTGTGAAATATTATTGCTGAGGCTAATTCATGACAGAGTCATCGGCTCCAAATTAGTGTCCAGGTGAGATGATACTAACCCAGATAAAAAAATATCCTGCCCTACTTGTAAATATAAAGACTTCCATCGCAGATAAAGTTTTGAGAAAAACATACATATTAAGAAGTCAAGGGTTAAGCCTAATTAATGCTGCTTTATATTTTCTTTTTGAACACAGTAAGGATAACGACAGGAAATAATCATCTTCTTTGCTTATTTCATTTGGGAGAAAGTACATGTACAAACCAGAAGGCGATCAACTACTTTTAATGATCTTAAACATTTTAATGTATGAGGCATGGCCTGGGAAAAGCAAGAATCATCTCAAATTAGGAAAAACCAAAGAACACAAAATGTGAATATTGCTAATAGGCCATAAGAAAAGATCAAGACCACAAAAACAGGTTTATTATAAACCTATCAGTTTACATTATAGATCCAGCTCCATGATAATCAATGAATTATAACTAGTCTTTATGGGGCACCTGGGTGGCTCAGTGGTTGAGCATCTGCCTTGGGCCCAGGGCATGACCCTGGAGACCAGGATCGAGTCCCACGTCGGGCTCCCTGCATGGAGCCTGCTGCTACCTCTGCCTGTGTCTCTGCCTCTCTCTCTCTGTGGCTCTCATGAATAAATAAATAAAATCTTTAAAAAAGACACAAAAACACAGTGTTTATAATTAGAGTAGGTGGAGTACAACAGAGATGAAAGAAATGACTCCTAAACGTCCATGACTTTTTCTGGGAAAAAAAAAAAAAAACACAACATAAAACATAAATGAATCTTCAGTGTTTCAGAGAAGTTATGATTTTCTCTACTCTTATTTTTTAATTGATCAGTTAAACTATATAAACTATATTAACTACACTTGGCTTTTTACATCCTTATGAAGCTTTGCATATAAATGCAGTCCTTACGCAGAAAAGGCCCAGATTATTTTTAAGGCTGGCGATAAAAGGTCCGCCGCCCAATCTAGGTGGTGGAATGGTCTCACCTCCTCGAGAACACAAACCCATGGGGTTGGAGGAGATCGTGTGGACCTCCTCGTTGACCTCTCGCCTCGGTAGCCTGGAATCAAACCTGGGCTGTGCTCTAGCTCACGTCCTCGCTGGGAGGACGTGTTAAAGTCTGAGCCCATCACCTGGTGCTGATGAAATCCACCTGGGCTGCCCGGACTCTGCACTTTCTGCTCCTTGTTTTCTGTTTCTGGAGCACCGTTCCTGCAGGCTGCCCCTCCGGCGAGAAGTCTCAGGGCATGTTCTGCATCCAGTCTGGAGGTTTGTGTGGAGAAATGTCAAATTGATAGCACGTGTCAAAAATCCCCACCAAGCCACCAGTACCACGATTTTTCCCATCACAGAGACAGGGCTACCAAATGGGATATGAATGCAGGAAAGGTCTCAATTAAGAGGGAGACCCCTTTGGTGGCGGTAATACAAGAGCGGACAGCGTTGACATTTGTTGAATGATGACTAAGTCAGGCCCTGGACTAACTATTACACTTCTGTTCTCTTTGTTCAGTCCTCAGAAGATTCACAAGAGGGAAGTACTAGTAACTTTCTTGTTTTACCTGTGAGAGAATGCAGGCGCCGAGGGATGATGTGACTCGTTCCAACAAATGGTGGGAAATAGTAGGGTTTAAACAGCATCTGACCATCGGCCCTGAGCTGCTTCTCATATCTCTTAAATCACTG